CCAAGTGGAGACAGTGGGTTAAAAAAGGGATCTATAAGGTTGGAGACCTATGGGACAACAGGACCAAGAGATGGACAACTAAAGAAATATTGCAAATAAATACAAGCCCGATTAGAAACATGGACCAGGACTTGGCTGAGTTGCAGGAAGCCATACCGCTGCAATGGCTGCTGGCTCTGAAAAAGGGCCCGAAACTCAAAAGCGATGATTGGGTCATCCGGTTGGACTCTATACATATTCCCATGACTGTGTACAAAGTACAACACACTCGACCCGGGGACAACGAAGTCAGACTAGAGGCATATAATCCTGCCCTACCGGGGGAAAGATGGTCCCAGCTGCATAGACAAGAGGACCAGGATACACAACGGCCAGTATCTTCTCTCGTCAAGGTCTGTTCTTATACGAACCTACCGTCCCTCTCCACCTGCTACCTTTTGACCTTGCTAAGTGGGAATGGACTTGGGGAGACTCGAGTGCAATGTCCCCATGGCAATATACAGTAAAGAAAGGATATAGAGCGGCACGCAAGCACCGTCCAGCCATGGATAACATTATCAAATGATGGGAAAGAGACTCCCCCTTGGAAAAACAGGACTTCCAAAACTTCCGATGGTCAGCCTACTCACATATTAATCCAACCAACCATAGAGCTCTGCAGTGGCAAATCATACACAGATGTCTGCCCTCACCAGACTGGATAACAGCAAGGACGGATCTAGAAGAGAAGGGAGAATTGTCCCCCTTGTGCTCATACTGCACACAAGCTTTCCCAAAGAAAACAGCCACCCTGGAACACTGTTTATTGGACTGTTCAATGGTGGTTCAACTTTGGAGTTGGTGGGATGCAGCTTGGCACCATCTCACAGGGACACATCTCCCATGGAACGTGGCCACCCTCTTGCTCGGAGAACCCCTGCCACAAGAGACCCAATGGTCCCCCTTCATGATCAACCTCTTCACATATACCAGGCTCACAGTTCTGATGGCGGCGTGGAGAATGCGTTGTGCCCACGAGAGGAAGCAACGCACATTTGGATTCATGCAAGCCAGAGCCTCGGTGATCGACACAATCACGACAAGAACGGAAGGGGCGCGGAAAGAACTACGGTCCTTGCTGCAAACTGAATTGGATCCAGCAAAGAAAAAACACCACATTCAGGAATTCTTGGAAACATGGACTGACAAAAACAGAAGACTCTGCTTCCTGGATGACAACAATATCCTCCAGTGGTACCCCTGGTTCTCGACCGAAAACCAATGGGAAAGACTGCCGAGACGCCACTTTCAAGTTATTCACAGGCCAGGCCAACAATGTTCTCCTCCCAGACCCTGGGTGTCCCATTCTAGATCCGGCTAATCCCTCCCCCCCCGCCCTTCTTCCTATCCCACTTCCCCCCTCTTGAAGATTTCCACTCCGCCCCAGACCCCGCATTCCCCCCCTCCCCTCCTCCCCCCCTGCTCAACCCCCCTCTCTCTCCTCCCTCTCCGCCGGCCAAGGGAAGTTCGTCCGCAGAAAGCTTGATTTGAGGCGGAGATTGGGCAAAATGGGAACAGATCAGTGCACGACTGGGAAAGCACAAATGCCGATTGCTTACAAACACAAGGGCTCACGTTACAAATACAAAAACACAGGACTTTGTCGTCTTTGTTGGCAGCCAGGACACTCTTACAAACATCTGACAGGGCAGTCGTCTCAGTAGATAGGCTATTCATTCAAGGTATCAAGTTCCAAGGGTGGGGGTTGGGGAACGGGTAGGTCTGCTTGCCTACATGCACGGGTACACAATATAGTGGTAGGGCTAGCATCAAAATCTGTGACAACAAGCGATATGCTGGATGAGTGGCAACAAGCAGTACACCATTGGTTAATGGGATCAGCTTCCAGCAATTCAGACAACAGATAGAATCCAGAGGATACTAGCTCCCACCGACATCCATCATGTAGGCAGCCAACAACTACAGCGACATGATGTCAAGAGTTGATGTATGGAATGTCGAAGGTAGGCCAGACATAGGCTGTCAGGTAGGCAAGCAGCTCAGAGTGCTGTGTAGTGCTGCCTGCCTCCATCACAAATTCATTTCGTAAATCAAACAGATTAAATGTTCAGGGACGCTGGACCCGATCTCCAGCAGGTGCTGCTCCCCACCAATAGATGGAGCCTCCTGGGGATTGCTAGCGGTGTCTGCTTTTATCAGCACCCCTAGCAATCTACTGGGTTGTTTTGTTAAAAAAAAAAAAAAAAAAAAAAAAAAAATTTTAATGGAAAAAAAAAAACAAAAAAAAAAAAAAAAAAAAAAAAAAAAAAAGCAAAAAGAGGTCTCTGCGAATCGTTTTCCAACCCCGCCCCTCCGCAAGTTGTTTTCCAAACCGCCTCCGTGATCCTCAAAAAAAACAGAAAACGAAGGACAGCATCGGTACCTCCCATTTATGCCAATTGTTGAACTGGTAAGCTGTGGGGAGCATGAGTTTTTGTGTTTTTTGCAGTTTGTAACTGCTCCTTGCCCAGACCTGCAGTGTGCAGTTATTTCCGTGAATTCAGAACTCTCCAGCAGTCACAGGCACAATTGTCTCTTTTCTTTTTCTTCGCATTGAAGTTGGCTAACCTCAGCTACCCACCAATAGATCCGTTTCCAGCATCCAACCTCTACAACAGCCTGGATTTTTTTATTGAAACAAGTGGACCCCGCCACGGCTACGCCGTGGCGCACAGCAACACTCGCTGATGGCGTCTCATTTTTGTTTCATGTCTCTCTCTCTCTCTCTCTCTCTCTCTCTCTCTCTCTCTCTCTCCCCCCTTTTCTGTGTTTCTTCCCGCGTTGTCCTTGGCGGGTGTCGGTGCTTGTCGTCTGCTCCGCCTGTTTCTCTCTCTCTCTCTCTGTGGCATACCGCGTAGCCACACGGGCCCTGCAGGGCCCGTCCCGGACATTCAGCCTAAAAGCCTAAAACTTAGGGCTTACAGGCCCCGGTCGTTTCAGCCTGAAAGCTGAAAAACGAGGGCCTGCAGGCCCTACTCCGTTTCAGCCTATTTCTGGGTCTTTCAGACCCAGAGTTTTTCCAGCCTGAAACGGCGGGCCATTTTCAGGCCCTCATTGTTTCAACCGCCCCTAAGACTCAGGCACGGAAACAGGGCTTCAGGAACAGGCCAGAAATAGTCTGTTCCCAAAACCTTGAGCAGGAGCTGCAGCGGCAGCCCCTGCCTCCGATCGGCATTGGCAAGAGCAGCCTCCTGGACTGCTCGCCTGCAGTCAGGAGGCACCCGTGGTAGTACATAGGACTTCCCAGGCACTTCACGGGTAGGTAGAGTCAGTAGGCACRAGTAGTCTTCAGGATTCAGGCAGCACTCAGGAGGAGCGCTGCAGTAGTCTTCAGCGCTAGGCAGTAGTTAGCGCTAGCTGTAGTCTTCGGCGCTGGGCGCCCATAGCCATAGRGTAGTCTTCAGCGCTGGGCGCTGGTAGGTGGTAGATCGTAGAGTTGGGAGAGATACTGGCGGAGGCCAGTGGTACTTACCTGTGGCGCCATCGCTCCAGCTCCATCTTCGAGGTACCTGCATCGAGGCGCCAACTTCACGGGTTAGTACTGGACACAGAGAGAGAGAGAGTTCTTCTTCTTCCTCTTCTAAGTCCACCATCTCTTCTCACCCTCTCTCCACCTGACTTCTCAGACTACGACAGAGAGAGAAAGAGTTGTGACTTGAGACTTGACGACATTGGACCCAGACTGGACATTTGGGATTCAGACATTTCGACGAGGGACTATTTGGGCCTGTGCCGAGACTTGGTGTTGACGACATTCCCATCTTCCCCCTCCTCTTCGTCTAACCCCTCCTTCTTCGTCTGTGTATGGTTGGGGCTGGCGCAGTCTTCTTGTGTGAAGCACCAGACCCCCCTCACACCAGATAACGATGATGATGATGTGTGCTCAGGGCTGCATGCAATATTGATTGTTCGGATCATTCGTATCTAAGTCTTCCGCTGTGTTATCTTGTACTTTGTATTGAGAGGTCGGTTCTTTTTCTGGTCTGCACGTTACAGTATGCAACAGTTTGGTATCGGAGCGGACCTCTCATTCAGAGGACCCGCTCTATCAAGCGATCACTCATTAGTAACGCAAGTAGGACTTAGTCAAATCTCTGAAAAAAAAATTCTCGCAACAACTATCTGAAAATTTCTGATATTCGCATTTCGTTTTACCTGAAAATTTCTGATATTAGTAGTTCGTTTTTACGTAACAAATATCTGAAAATTTCTGATAAATCGCATTTCGTTTTGTCTGAAAATTCCCGATAGTAGCTTTTCGTTTCTCTGATATTTCGCATACATTGCTGAAATTTCTGAAGTTAGTATTTCGTTCTCTAGGCATATTGGGAKAACGATAGAAGTGGTCATATTCTCGGAAACTGGAATTATTCTTTTTCTGAAAATCGAATTTCCATTCTATCTCGCAAATTTTTTTTGAAAACCGAAATCGTGCGAAGCCTACCAATATTGCGTTAGGCATATTCGGAGGTTGCTATATCTCAGAAACTGGATTTCGTTCTTTTCTGAAAATCGCATCTTTACTCCATTTTGCAAAAAAAAATTTTCAAGATCGCAGTTTGTAAAAGCCTAGATCTCGTTCATAGTACTCTTCTGACATGTCCTACTCATAATAGATCGACAGATATACAAAAAAAAAAAAAAAAGGAAGTAGTCCTCTTTTATTTTTTTNCAGATATACAAAAAAAAAAAAAAAAGGAAGTAGTCCTCTTTTATTTTTTTATTTTATTTTATCTGTTGATTAGGGCCGGAGGGAAGTATTGTTGGGTTGTTTGCCTACCTACGTTTTCCCTACCACCCACCCTTTGCATGCATTTCCGGGTTGGTACAGTGACACATCAGCTACAGTGCCACGTCAGACACAGTGCCACATCAGACACAGTGCCACATCAGACAGTGACACGTCAGCTACAGTGCCACGTCAGCAGTGCCACGTCAGACAGTGACACGTCAGCTACAGTTGGGGCTTCCAGCAGTGCATCCTCTAATCGCCAACTGGAGGAACGCGTTTACCACGTAGTGGCAATGCTCGGCGACATCAGCACCTTCGCTGCGCCGACCACCATCAGCAGTCAGCTGCATACCTTGAAGACCGAGTTCCAGCAGCTGCAGTCGACGAACACAGATGGCAATCCTAAGTTGTACAAGATGCCAACTTTCCAACTGGAGAAGTTTGACGACTACACGCAGCAGGATCCGGTCCTCTGGTGGGAAGCATTCACGACGCAACTTCGGATTCTGCTTGTCGCTAAGCATGCGTACATCGGCGCCCTGTTCATGAACTCAAAGGGCGGATGCCAGATCTGGTTGACCCACCTGGCAACCTCCCACGGTGTCGACGTACCAGACTTGAAGGACAAAATCACATGGGAGGAACTGACACGACTGTGGAAGAAACGGTTCATCGTCGACGACGCGCCGGCACTCGCCATCAACCGTCTTTTCACCATGTCACAGGGCAACACCGCAACACGGGATTGGCTCACGGAGTGGCAGAAGATTGCGGCAGTGCCCAATCTGGACTTGCCATTCATGCATTTACGCCGTGAGTTCTACAACAGGTCCTGTGCTGCATTGAGCCAGGCTCTTGGTGATCGCGAGCAGTACTCAACCTTCGCTGAGATCATTGACAAGGCGAGGGAAATCATAAAGACCAACAGGTCAGCTGCACACGAGAAGTCAACATGGCAGCCGACCTATATGGAGAAGGTACGAACTGGTCCGCGACAGCAGCACTTCGCTGCAGTTCAGTCGGACAGTGGAGATAACCCAGCAGCCACTCCAGCATCAGGTGACGGAGATCAGGTGGTTGTTGTCCAGCCGCGAAGCAACAACAAGTCCCGCAACAATGGGAAGGCGAAATCCGCATCGCACGCCGGAAATGGACAGCCAGTACAAGTTCCATGGGTCAAGTTCGGCTTGACCGAGGCGGAGTACAAGGTCCGCGGCAACTACGACAGCTGCAATTGGTGCAACAGCACCAAGCGCAAGACCTCCCTGTGCCAGGATCAGGGCAAGGAGGATGTGCGACCCCGCCTCAACTCGGGAAACTGAGTTCTGCGGAAGGTGAGGCGACTCCACCTTCTACTCCGCCAGATTCGGCCGCCTTGCTAGCGGCCTCCTGCACATCTGGGGAGGATGCGAATGTCGCAGGTTCTCGTTACACTTACGAGGACTATGTTGTCCACTTGGTTCCACCGCTGGACCAACCGCTCCACGTGCAACAATCTACAGCATGCACGGTTTCATCACCATCGGCAACCGATTCGGCAGCTTCGCCGCCATCTATCGTCGGGGATTCATCGTCGTGGTCAAGACTTGAGGTGCTCAACCCACTGATGTTCACGGACTTCCAGTGGATGCCCGTTCCCCCGACTGGACGATTGCCGAAACCGCATTGCAATGTGCTCATGGCACAACTGCGGGATTACTTGCACACTGCAGGACCAGCTCCGTTGATGGACGCCGGAGTAGAGGTTGTCAACCTTCACGCTTACATTGCGAAGATCGACCGCGATTTCAAGACACAACGGTACGACGACATCGACGCACCATTGCTATATGTACGCATTCAGATCGGAGAGGCGACCTGCAACGCCTTGATTGATTGCGGAGCATCTCGCAACTACATCAGCCAGGACTTCATGGTGCGCGCCGGCCTTGGCCCATGCGTCTGGAGGAAGTCCCAGCCTATGCAAGTCACGTTGGCGGACGGTGACACGCACAAGTCAATCGACCGGTGCATTGACAACGTCCCAGTGTACTTTGCCCCTCACGCAAGTGAGGCGGTGTCCTTTGACATTCTGGACACCAAATTTGACATGATCTTGGGCATGTCATGGCTGCGAAGCGAGGATCACCCGGTGAACTTCTTCCACCGCACCGTTCACATTCGTGATCGGAACGGAGTACTAGTTCCATGCACGGTGCCTCTTCCTCATCCTTCGATCAGCTGCCACGTGGTATCCACCGCAAGCATGCGAGCTTCCATCATTAGAGATAACATCGAGGAGATGGGAGTGTGTTTTCTCCACGCCCTCCCGCCCCATGACGCTTCATCGACGGACTCACCTTCGGATCCGCGCATCACCGAGCTTCTCGACGCCTACAGCGACGTGTTCGAAGGCCCGCACGGAGTAGTACCGGATCGACCCATCCGCTACGAGATTATCCTCGAGGACGGGGCCGTACCTCCGTGCGGTTGCATCTACTGAATGAGCGAGGAAGAGTTAAGTGTGCTTCGGGCACAACTCGACGACCTTCTGGAGAAAGGCTGGATTCGGCCTAGCTCATCGCCATACGGTGCTCCTATTCTCTTCGTCCGGAAGAAGAACAAGGATTTGCGGTTGTGCATCGATTATCGCAAGCTCAACGCGCAGACGATCAGAAACGCCGGCCCTCTCCCACGCATCGACGATCTTCTCGAGCGACTGGGTGGCACCAAGTTCTTCTCCAAGCTCGATCTCAAGTCGGGATATCACCAACTCGAGATTCGCAAGGAGGACCGTTACAAGACCGCGTTTAAGACGCGATATGGGCATTTGGAATGGCTGGTTATGCCATTTGGCCTTACGAATGCCCCGGCCACTTTCCAAGCGGCTATGACAACGGAGTTCCGACACATGCTGGATCGATATGTACTTATCTACCTCGACGACATCCTGGTGTACAGCCGGAGTTTGGAGGAGCATGTGGAACACCTGCGCACCGTTTTGGAGCGGCTACAACAAACCAAGTACAAGGTCAACCGCGACAAGTGCGAATTCGCACAACAGGAGCTGGAGTACTTGGGATATTATGTGACGCCGCAAGGCATCCGTCCGCTTGCGGACAAGATCGAGGCCCTACGAGTATGACCCGTGCCCACCAACACTACGGACGTTCGTTCATTCATGGGATTGGCGGGCTACTATCAGCGATTCATCACCGGATACTCAAGGATTGCTGCACCTATGACGAGGTTACAGTCGCCAAAGATGCCATGCGTATTCGATGACGACGCATGCTGGTCATTCCAAGCACTTAAGACGGCTATGCTCATGGCACCCGTCCTTAGCATCTACGACCCCACCCTGCCTACGAGAGTGACTACGGACGCTTCCGGCTACGGCATTGGGGCAGTCTTGGAACAGCACGACGGCGACGACTGGCACCCTGTGGAGTATTTGAGCCACAAAGTGCCTCCCATTAACCCACTTGATGATGCAAGGAAGAAAGAGCTACTTGCGTTCGTCATGGCTCTCAAGCGATGGCGGCACTTCCTCCTTGGGCGTCGTAGGTTCACATGGGTCACAGACAACAATCCATTGACCTACTACAAGACACAGGATACGGTGAGCATCACGATCGGGCGATGGATGTACTTCATCGACCAGTTTGACTTCACACCGAAACATCTTCCCGGCCTCTCAAATCGCGCAGCAGATGCACTCTCGCGAAGACCTGATCTTTGCGCTATGACACATCAACGCTATATGCACAACTATCTTCGGATCACCTGCCGGCCAGCCATTACCGCATTGCCGACGGATACTTGCTCCTCTACTCGAGAGGCAAGGATTTACTGTGTGTCCCATGTGACCGTCGTCTTCGGACTCGCCTCCTCGGCGAGTATCATGATTCGCGACTCACCGACCATTTCGGAGTCAACCGCACTATTGCACGGCTTCGACGGCGATTCCGATGGCCCGATCTCATTACCGATGTCACTCAGTATTGCGACTCTTGCGAAGTTGGACGACGCAGCCAGCCCCGCAACCGCAATCCCTACGGCGAGTTACGCCCGATGCCTATCCCACAGGAACCTGGCCTCTCCATTGCCATGGACGTCACCGGTCCGTTTCCCCCCGACCGGCTCGGGCACGACGGCATCCTCACGGTGGTGGACCGATTGAGTAAGTATGAGCGTTTTTTTCCTTGCAAGTACTACTCCACGGCTCCCGAGCTGGCACGCCTCATGCACACTGGTTGGATTTGTGGCCACGGTGTACCAGAAGACATAGTCAGCGACCGCGACACTCGCTTCATGTCGGCATTTTGGACTGCTCTCATGCAGGAGTCCGACACGAAGATGAAACCAAGTTCGGCTCGGTATCCACAGACGGACGGGCAAACGGAGCGGGCACATCAATCCGCTCAAATGATGCTTCGTACGCTCATCCGTCCGGACCAGAAAGATTGGGTTGACCGCCTCCCCGACATCGAGTTCGCCTACAACACTTCGGTGCATCCGGCGATCGGCGTGACTCCATTCGAGTTGCACCACGGTGGACGGAAAGGCCGGATCTTCGCTGACCTTCTCCTCCCTCGACCAGCCGACATTGACGCTGCCTGCTCTCCCGCTTCCGTCCGGAAGTACAGGGAATTGTTGACTCAAGCTCGCGCAAACATGCAAAAGGCTCACGTCCGCATGCAGCAACAAGCCAACAGGCGTCGCGTACCATGTCCCATCTGCGCCGGTGACCTGGTTTGGGTCTCCGCGGAAGAGTTTGCACTGGAACAGGATGTTTCACGCAAACTGCTTCCCAAGTGGTTTGGACCTTGGTCTGTGACAACAGTTGCGGGCGATGAGCCCGATGGCCCTTCATTTGTGATCAACATTCCAGAGCATCTGACGGTCCATCCGATCTTCCACGCCTTGAAGCTGGCAACATACACGCCAGCCAGGAGCGACGACTTTCCGGGCCGACGATCGCAGGACCCTCCTTCTATGGATGGTCATCAGGAAGTTGACCGCGTCATCACCGATCGCAAGTACGGCAGCAAGCCGCGGCAGTACAAAGTCACATTCAAACCATGCGATCGCGACGACACTCGGTGGATTTCAGGCGCAAATTTGAAAGCATCCGCACCGCTGATCTACGCGCATTATGAACAGCGGAGGTTAGCTCAGGAAGCTTCACGACCAGCCCCTCCCACCAAGACTGTGGTCCCTCCCTCAGATAGACAGCTTCGCCCTCGCAGGTTAGCTCGGTTCTTCAAGGAGGGGGGGGTGTGGCATACCGCGTAGCCACACGGGCCCTGCAGGGCCCGTCCCGGACATTCAGCCTAAAAGCCTAAAACTTAGGGCTTACAGGCCCCGGTCGTTTCAGCCTGCGAGCTGAAAAATGAGGGCCTGCAGGCCCTACTCCGTTTCAGCCTATTTCTGGGTCTTTCAGACCCAGAGTTTTTCCAGCCTGAAACGGAGGGCCATTTTCAGGCCCTCATTGTTTCAACCGCCCCTAAGACTCAGGCATGGAAATAGGGTTTCAGGAACAGGCCAGAAATAGCCTGTTCCCACGACCTTGAGCAGGAGCTGCAGCGGCAGCCCCTGCCTCCGATCGGCATTGGCAAGAGCAGCCTCCTGGACTGCTCGCCTGCAGTCCCAGGCACTTCACGGGTAGGTAGAGTCAGTAGGCACGAGTAGTCTTCAGGATTCATGCAGCACTCAGGAGGAGCGCTGCAGTAGTCTTCAGCGCTAGGCAGTAGTTAGCGCTAGTTGTAGTCTTCGGCGCTGGGCGCCCATAGCCATAGAGTAGTCTTCAGCATTGGGCGCTGGTAGGTGGTAGATCGTAGAGTTGGGAGAGATACTAGCGGAGGCCAGTGGTACTTACCTGTGGCGCCATCGCTCCAGCTCCATCTTCGAGGTACTTGCATCAAGGCGCCAACTTCACAGGTTAGTACTGGACACAGAGAGAGAGAGTTTTTTTCTTCTTCCTCTTCTAAGTCCACCATCTCTTCTCACCCTCTCGCCACCTGACTTCTCAGGCTACAACAGCGAGAGAAAGAGTTGTGACTTGAGACTTGACGACATTGGACCCAGACTGGACATTTGGGATTCAAACATTTCGACGAGGGACTATTTGGGCCTGTGCCGAGACTTGGTGTTGACGACATTCCCATCTTCCCCCTCCTCTTCGTCTAACCCCTCCTTCTTCGTCTGTGTATGGT